TTGTCCTTTGTGTGCATAAGGACAAGACAACAACAATCGTGCTAAGTAAGCTTCCTTTGATCGTTGAATGCTGGAATAACCTAGAGGTATTCTAACAAAAGCTCTTAGTATTAATCATCACATATCTAACTACCAAATTGTTCTTCCAAAACCACCCATTTTACCACCAAATTTTTTCATTCATTCAATTGATTTGAGCTTGGCTCCATAGGTCAAAAGTACTAGGAGGTCTCAGGTTCAAATCCAAGGAGGAATAAAAATCCTCTTATGGCCATGGAGGTTCAAATGTGGTGACTCCGGGTTATTTGCAAAGCAGGTGGTCGCCCTGGGATTAGTCAACTCGCATAGCTGGTTGGATATCCAGGTTAATCAAACAACAACAAAAAACCAATTCACGTAATCTTCCCTATCTGCTTCTTGCAAGTCCCAAAACATGTTCAACTTTTCAGGATCGTCTCTTATCATTGGAATTACTTTAAACTTCTCTGGTTGGGCCAATGACTACATTTTTGATATCTTAGAAGTGATCATCGAACGTTTCTTATTAAGTTCTTCTTCTCGTTCGATACCCTTGTTAATTTTGTTCGCCATTTTCTCCAAAGTTGCTCCAAGTTTAGTAACCGCATTACTGAATCCGTCAGCCATGGGATCTACTCGACGTTTTCTCTTCTTACCACGCCCACTTGAAGTTTCTTTAGATTGCATATTTGCATTGCCACCTTGAACATTCCTAGTTGTCATCACGTCATCAGACTCGTCATTCATGTGTTGTGTATGATCTTCTATATACAGCTCCTCTTCCACCTCAACAAAATCTCTTGCTCTATTTCCTTAAGCCCAATCTTTTCCAAATACAATACAAAGATCCTCATAAAAAGGATACGCTTTGTTCTTCCATTTTTTTCGCCCCTTTATGGACGTATTTCATAATAGAATAACATAATATACATATAACTATGATTATATAGTACAAAAATATAAATAACAAGTTTTTTAGCATGTACCTGAAGATACGACTCCCAAACTTGGTCTTCAGCAACCACACAATGCTTTACACTATCGTATCTGAAGCCGCTAGTATATGAACCACTTACCATGTCATGCACAACAGTCCAATCTTTCTTCATTATTTTTAACTTTGATTCAATGTGTGGTTTCCCTAAAATCCCTGAGCCCGGCAAAGATTCTTTTATTGCTTGTTCAAGATATGTTAAATAACCCGATTTAAAGTCATTATCGGCTTTCAATGCTTACGTATTCACCATGGTAAAGCTTCAACAAGTTTTATTTCTTCAATATTTGTCCATACTCGATAATTTCTAATTTGACTCGTCATACCTATAAACATAAATGAATCATTTGAAGTATAACAACATTTAATTATCCATGTCCAAACTCCATAATTTCTATTATAAACAAACATTAGATTTAAACAAACATTAGAAGTATGAGTTAAGTAAATTTTTGAATCATACATACTAATTGGTAGCATTCCAAGAAACAAACATAGATTGTGCTAAATTATCTCTAAATGTAGTCCACTCATTTGAAGTACCAACAACATTTATATTATCCCCATCTTCGACTCCAAGGTCTCCGGTTCCCTCATCCACTTCACCTTCATTGTCAAGTGGATTTACTGGCATTTCTTGCATTATAAAATTGTGGAACAACATGTCATGATGATCCTGACTTTTAAATCAATAGGATAATACGAATTCTCTCTTAAGATTCCCCACCTTGCCTTTAACATACCGAAACATCGTTCAATAACATTTCTCGCCAGATGAATGCTTCATATTAACAAAAATTCTTTGGCAGTGGTTGGTTGGTGTCCATCACGCCAATCATTTAAATGATATCTTTGACCCCTATAAGGAGCTAACAAACCCTCTCAATTTGTGTATCCAGCATCAACCAAGTAATAACCTAATAATAAATTAAGTTAATAAACCATCAAAACTTATACTTGTTAATATATAGTACACTTTCAAAAACTATACTTGGTCTTGAAACTTTTAATCCATGATGCCTAAGAAGAGGATCTCGAAGCATTCGACCACCAGCAGCCGACCCCTCCCATCCTGGTGACACATATATAAATTGCATATCTTGTGAGCACACATCTAGCACGTTTGTCACAATATCATTTTTTCTTGTTCTATATCTAGGTTTGTCTTCTTTTGTAACTAAACATTTTATGTAGGTTCCATCTAAAGCTCCTAGACAATCTAGAACCAAGAAAAAAAGATCATTATATTTTCATAATAATTAGACTTATTTACAAATGAGTAAATTTTAAAAAGAAGTGGCAATACCTTAAACCATTTCCATCTTTGATCAGTAGAGTTATCAGGTACAAGTTCAGGTTTCTTAAGCAATCGTGGGTAACCTTATTATGGCATTGCAAAATCGAGCAACTCTACTAATTGTTTCTCCCGAATGATGAAAATGGCATATCATAACCCGATTCTTAACATTGTGAGCAATAATATGAAGAAACATGGCAACTTGTTCTTCAATATTCATAAACCTAGTTGTTCTTAACCCTCCGTATGTTTCAACCATGTCACATAACTTTTTGAAACATGTTCGAGTCATCCTAATTTGCGATACAGACATAGTGTCACTCTCATAAATATACCTATGCATTATTGAGGATCGATCCATATTTGAAGAAGAGTATCCAATTTGTTGTTTATCCCTTTGTCATTTAACCATAATATCCAAAGCTACGCAACACAAAATAGAACAACATGGACAACTATGTTAAACCATTCCAATGACTCTTGTCTCATTTGCCTATGTAAACGTCTTGTTAAACTAAGTCGGTCCATTTCCTGTCCAATTACTCAAATTGTTAAACATATAATTAAATTAAACTGATTCAGAACAATGATTCTCTTAACAACCAAACAAGCTAGAATGTGATATTTAGAAAGATGATTTATAAAAATGAGGGCAGATTAGTTAGATATATAGGGTTTGGGCTTGGGTTCACAAGTTGGACATGAAACAATAGATGGAATAGCTTACAAGCAAGAGAAAAGTTGTTAAGAATTTAAACAACTGTGAACAAAATATATTCTATCTCATTCTAGCATATATAGAAATCAATGGTGGAGCTTCATCCTTTTGACTACAGATTATATCAACAAAAAGAGCTTCATATCTACGATCCCCTTTTTTTGTATAATTGCTCAGTGCAAACAAAAGACACTCATTTCTTGTTATCAGATTATATCAACAAAAAGAGCAAAATTAAGGTCTAAAACACCAAATTTTAATCAATTTCAAGAACTAAATCAAGAAAAGACTCAAATTTAAGGTCTAAAACCCCCCGAAACAGACTGAAAGAAGCATTAGTCCCAAAAAATGTTATAAATGCCCCAAAACAGAACTGAAAGAAGTATTAGTCCCAAAAAATGCCCCAAAACCTTGTCCCCAAGAACTCAAGTAGCTTATCAGCAAGTGCTGTTGGGTGGAAGTAATTGCTAAGAGGATAAAAAACAAACCCAAAAGTCCCAATAAATGCTATAAATGGAAGGATTACAGTATAGAAAAGAGCCTTTTTTATAACACATTTGACAATTTGGTATACAATGACATAAACCCAATTGCCATAGGCAAATTAACCCAAGTTTTCAAAAAGGGTACAATTTCAGCACTTGAACCCTTGGTTGTTACCATTAATTGAACTTGAAAATTCAATAAAGCAAGAAACATTAGTCTGAAGAAAACAAGTAATGTAAGTAGGTTTTTCTATTAGCATACAAATTAAACCTGTAATATAGTTAGATACAAGTTTCTACATGTATTCTGCAAAAAAAAATCAGCAAAACCAGGAACCACAAAACAGCAAAGAGATGGAGACAACGATGGAGGAGAAGAATTGAAGAAAAGAGACACACCGTGGGAGAAAGAGATGGAGACGATGATGGAGGAGAAAATGGAGATGGTGAACGATGAAATTTCAAGTTAGGGAAAACAAATCAGATGGGAATGGATTTAAAAAACCATGTATTTATTCTCAAATCCATTAGTCACAGGATTTTAAATGAATCCCTGGATTTTAAATCCTAAAAATCCTACAGCCAAACACATCATTGGAATGAATTTCAAATCAAAATCCCTCCAATTCCATTTTATTGCCGCAAACTAAACGCAACATAAGAGATTGATTTAACATGTTAAGTTACACATCATATCTTAATGTATTAAGTTAGAACTTTTTCGAAAGTTACCATTTTCCTACAATTTCTAATCAAACATTTCATTAAAAAATAAATACTCTACCAACATTCAACAAATTAAAAAAAATTGTAACTAAACAATTGAACTTTATTTTTTTAATTATTAAGTATTGTGTTTTGGATTTGTTGAATTCATATTATTTTAAATTTTTTTGGGTTATTTTAAATGTTTATCAAACAATTATTTTTATTTAATATTTATATAGACATAAAATTAAAATTAAAATTTTTGTTGTTCAGACTATTTATTCAAGACAAAAATCAAACAACAATTTATCCAAATAAATTAATATTTAAAAGTAAATTTAGAACTTCATGTAAGACAAAACTTCATTGATATCCGTTTTTACGAAGGTAGATTAATTTCAAACCATTTTAGTCCGTGATCATTAAAAAGAAGAAGAAAATGTTTTTGTATAATAAATAAATTTCACTAAGATTTTATGGTAAATTATTGTGATACCACTTTAGGTAGGTAGGTACCAGAAAATAGTAAGCGCGTGGGAATCTTAGCCGTTTGGATAATGATAATAATAATAATGTCGTATAATCCTCGTATATGAATTAATTAATACCGCCGTATTTATTTAATAAAATACTCCACCATTCTCATGCTCGACACGTGGCCCCACACGCTGCCGCCCACCTTTTAGTCAAACCCATCGTTGACCATTTCCATTCTCTCTCCCTATAAAATCACCCCCTCGTTCTCTTCCTTTTTCCCCAAACCTCCTCCGCCATTCGTAAATTTCTTTTATTTTTCATTCATGGCACCCAAAGAAAGATCCGCCGGTGCCGGAAAACCTAACACAACCGGCGTTGGTGGTGTGAGTTTGAAAGAGCCGCATTTTAGAGGAGTTCGGAAGAGGCCGTGGGGGAGGTACGCCGCCGAGATCCGTGATCCAGGCAAGAAAAGCCGTGTCTGGTTGGGAACTTTCGATACGGCGGAGGAGGCTGCCAGGGCTTACGACGCGGCGGCGCGTGAGTTTCGTGGTGCCAAAGCCAAGACTAATTTTCCGACACATGAGGATGTTGGTTTGTTCAAGGTTCAACGGAGTCCGAGTCAGACCAGTACGGTCGAGTCACCGAGTCACCCGGAACCGGTGGTTCCACTTTTGGATCTCAACCTTTCGTACAGCGTCCCTCCTCCTTTCGTCGTCCATTTTCCTTACCATCACCAGAATCAACATCGTTTTTCTAAGGTCCCCGGTGCCGGATTTTATTCTCCTCCGGCGAACCAGATGGTTTACTTCGACGGGATTCACATCACCAATTGCGACCGATCGCCCGTGATTTTCCGGCAGTCTTCCAGTGCTTCAAAAAGCGACGACTCTAATTCATCAACGGTGGTTAACTTGAAGCCGTCGCCGCCACCGCGACGCATAGCAATCGACCTCAACTTTCCGCCGCCGGCGGAAGGTCTTGATATTGATCTTAATCATCAAATCGTAAATTCGAAATAGTAATTAGTACTATTACGTTTTTTGCTAAATCGAGTAGGAATACGGCAACCTCGTTTACCGGTGCGATCATGTATCTCCGATCAATCACCGTTAACCGTCGGCAGTAAATACAAAATCCGATCCCCCCTTTTTTGCAACATGTAGAGAAACTCTGCAGGGTAGTTTCTCGAATTTGTTGTTCGGTAAACGGTTGCGATAATATGTAATTTTTGTGCGATGGAATTTCCGATTACATTTCCGGCAATATATGTTTTGTTGTATGAACATGTTGAGTTTCTCGGCGTTAACGCCGCCGGATGGGTGGTGGTCCATTCCGTACAAGAGATTTAAGTTTGTTGGTGTCGGCATGATCGACACGTATGTGATTGTCACCCACTTACGGCTGCGTTTTTTGTTTGTCTTCGACCATATGATGAAAGTGGAAAGACCAAAAAGCCCTTTATTGGTTTAGATGTAACCCCCCATTTTTGACTTTTTTTACTCCTATTTTTTGACCGAATAGAATTACTCCCATTTTTAGGATATGGAAGGCATAAAGTTACGGAATATTTTTTCCTTTCATGGGATTTATAAAATGATATTTATTTTATAATTCAATATAATTTACAAATTTGTCATCAAGTACATGTCAAAATCCATCAACTAAGAAACAAGCAATATGTCCGATTAGCAATTGTCGGCATACCATTACATATAAAATTATAAAATTATTTGTTTTGTAAATTGATAGATATGTATGTACAATAACAATATAGCATCACCCCTCATATCCCTAATTTGGTGCTTGAGCCTGTTGTTCATCTTGTCTGATTCCTTAGTCCATAGGAAGAACCGGACAACCAAATACCTCGGAAGAAAGAGAGACCCATCTTTTCCTCGCCCCGAATCTTTCATTGTTCGTCTTGGCCGCCATCGTCATTGCATACACACAATGACATATCCATTCTCTTGATCTAATTGAAGCCTTGTCTATGTCCACTCTTCCTCGACTTATAGATTCGATCCGATATAAAAAGGAACAAGAATTACAACGTTTGCAAGAGCACCTCGACTCTAAACATATCTTATTTCTTTCTCTTTGTACGACTCGAGAAAGAGTGATTTGAAGTTTCAGCTATGGATAAAAATATAATAAATAGGAAAGGAACCCGTTGAATAAATTACCTACAATTTAACTCATATTTGTTTTAGCTCCCTTCCTAAAAAATAAATAATATCATTTGTACTTGTAACTCAAAATGAATGATTCTCAAATATCTTAAATATTTTTCTTCAGTATATTTTTTATCGAGTGTCCCTTTATCTCAGTTTAAAATCTATTTGGATTTTTTATTCGGACTCATGAGACAATTGAAGTGATTTATTGCTTTCTTTCGGACGCGTGAGACAATTGAATGAATTTGTGCTGGCTTCATTCAAAATATGTGGGTAAAATGGATTGTATTATATTGGGTTGATGATTCGGATTCCATCACTTTCATGTTCTTGATTAAGCAACTGGGTATGTTCCTATAGCTCTTACATTTGCTTTTGCTTTTGCTTTTTTTAACATAGACGGAAGAAGAGAAAGATGACCTTAGTAAAATGACATATGGTGGTGTATCTAAGTGGGTGATTAAAAATAATATATTTTTGACTAAAATGTCCCTCTATATTAACTAACTTTAACTTAACAGACAGAGTTAAGTCTAAGGGACTAAAAATATAAACTACAAATTATAATTCATAATTATTTCCAAAAAGAGACCCCATGTAAATCCACGAGAACCAAACACGTAATTTACTTTAACTATAACTATATTTAAAGACAAAGGATCACTATTGTTCTTTAAAATAAAAAGAAATTCTAAAATGATTATTTTAATTCTTTTTCATAATAATATGGAATATAGTATTATTTCATGTCTATTTAGAAGATAATTACAAAATGTTGAGAATTTAGAAATAACTTTTGAAATGTGAATTTAATTTTAGTTTTTTTATTTTAAAAATTATAAAACATCTGTTAGACGAGAAGACGTGCCATCAAAATATGGTCCTACTTGCTTCCTCATCGAAATATGAAGGATCGATGATATTCATAAAAAGTAAAAGTGCAAAATATAAATTAAAAATGAATCAGAAATAGCGTGTCACACGTGGGCGGTCGGAGACAGATATCGTCCTATCTAAATGACTAAAATAACCTCACTCAACACCAAGAAAAAGGCACAACATTACAAAAGCAGGTGGGAATTTATTATTTCATCTTTTTCCTCCTACAATCCTACAATATATATATATATATATATATATATATATTGCCCTAAAAAAAATAAAAAACCCGAAGAACCATTTGGTCAGATTGAGATAATCGATTGGGAATTGTTGAAAAGGTGGTTATAATCATTTTTATTAAGAATTATTTGGTTAGATTGAGATAATCCAATGAATATTGAAAAAAAAAGGTGGTTATAATTAATTTTTTAAATAAGTATATATATATATATATATATATAGAGAGAGAGAGAGAGAGAGATGAGCAATTAATTGCAAACCACCCTTATTTGTGAAGACCCTACAAACCAATCCTATCTATCCATTTTCTTGATCAATGGTAAAGAATAAATAATGTTTATATTAGGAAATTTAAAAAAAGCTTAATTTACAATTAAAAGAAGGGCAAAATCGGCAAATCATCCAGATGAATCTGTTTCACTGTATTTCATCACCGTCCTCTTCACTGTATGCAACTATTTCACTGAATGAAATTGTATTTCATCACTGTATGAAACTATTTCACTGTATGGGAAACATTATTTCATCACTGTATGAATCTGGTTCACTGTATTAATCTGTATTTCTTAACTAGATGAACATGTATTTCTTCATTGTATGAATTTGTTTCACAATATTTATTTACATGCGTGAATCTGGTTTACTGTATGAATCTATTTCACATTATGAAACTGTATTAATCTATTATCTTCATTGTATACAACTATTTCACTGTTTTATATTTGAAAACAATTGATTTACACCTTCCATATAAACGCTTTTTATATTTACGTTTTCATATTTAAAAATAACTAAATCATTTCTAATATTATATTTAAAAACAATTGATTTACACTTTCCATATAAACGGTTTTTATATTTACGTTTTCATATTTGAAAATAATTAAATCATTTCCAATATTAACCATTATACAGTAAAATGACAATGATGCCCTTACTTATTAAAATTAAATAATAAAAAATGGAAATTTCCTATTGGCCGAGAGTGGTTTGCATAGTTTTCACGAATCAGATGGTTCGTAATCTAACCCCCATATATATATATATATATATATATATTCAATTTGTAAAAACCATAAAAACTACTCTCATCCATCGTTAATCTTATGAAATTTCTTCATGAAATTGTTAATCTTGTGAAATTGTTTCATATAATACTTTTTTTGATGAACTTGTTTCATATGTGATTATGAAACTGTTTCATATACTACTTAATGAAATTTTAATGAAACCGTTTCATGTATTTTTTTAAAATTAAAATAATGAAGATGATAATATCCATGATTAACACCCTTCACAATAAAAATGGTTAATCAACCTCTCATAATTACAAAAAAAAATGAACAAAATGAAAAATTATGATTGGTTGAATGAGGTTTTCACGGTTTTTACAAATTGAGTGGTTTTTATTTGAACCCACCCTTATATATACATATACATATATATATATATAGAGAGAGAGAGAGAGAGAGAGAGTTTATTTCCAATGCAACTCATAATATTTGTACAAACAATGCAACCCAATAAATTGAAATATTTATGGAAATGATGAGAGTTCATTTATGATTTAAATATTTATGAAAGATGAATAAGGTTCATTAATTATAATCAATACTTTATATTAGAAAACAATCAAAACTTTTATGAAATTACATATTCATCAAACTAAATGGACGGTTGAGATTGTGTTGTGTTGGTTGTACAAATGTAATATGTTGTATAATGACCCACCTATATATATATATATATATATATATATATATATGTCGATGTAATATGTTTTTAGTGGTTTTGAGAAAGCGATTATATTTTTATTTTTTAATAAAATATATATTTAAATATACCATAAAATTTTGGAAAAAAAAATATATGTCGATATTAGTGTAAAATTTACTATTTAAAGTTCTGGTTTTTTGTTTAATTAATTTAATTCAATATTCTATTTAGATTAATTAACTAAGTAATTTATTTATCATTTAATAATATAATTTTTATAAAGATGAGTAATTAAGTATTATGTTATAACTAATGATTATCCTAATTATATTTTAGATTTTTTATATTCAAAATAAGATGTCTATCCCATATTTGATTATGTTTATCTATAGTTAGTTACACAAATTCAAAAATGAAGCATTAATAAGTTATATTTACGTACAATTTACTTGTGATCTTGAACTGTAAGTAATATGCATCAACAAACAGTATTTTATGCATAAAAGAGTTTTTGTCAAATGATTTATGTGAACTTTGTGTTCCATAACATAATAGATCAAAAAACAATTCTATTTAAATCATTACAAATCATAAATCAATCAAGCAATGGTCAATCATTACAGGCACCATAAGGTTGAAGCTTACGTTGAAAAAAAAAACAATCAAGATGTGGGGATGAGAAGCAATCGAGCTCCGAGAAAGTAAACCTAAACCGATAAAGAACCAAACAAAGAAACCATAAAGAATTGATACGTAATGAGTCAAAAAGAAAGAAGCAAAAATCGAAACAGACCATAAATCAATCAGAAGCAATGGTCCAAACCCATGAGGTTGAAGATTACCTTGAAAGAGAAACAACCGAGCTTTGGGGAAGGGAAGTTGATGGTGAATATAAGAAATATTGAGCAAAAACCATCCATTAAATATGAAATCAACAATGGCTATCTACTTTTTTGAAAAAGAGAAATTATAGGGACGTAAGTTGGATTAGAGAGATTGTAGGGCCGAATTACGATTTCAATGGGAGTGGTATGCTTTAAAAACATGTACGTATGCATAATTAACTGTCATTTTTGATTTTTAAGTAATATGCATAAATTAATTGTACTTTATGCATGGTAATTTGTTTAGAGAATGAGCCAAATGCTTTATAATATAGTATATATATAAAATATATATTAGGGTTGGGTTCAGGTGAGACGAGTCTATTTTTGTGAGACCACATTTTTACACTTGAAACTTCACAACAAAATATTGTTAAGGTAAAAAAA